GTCCGCGCTGCCCCGCCGGCTGCAGAAAGCCCCCGAGTCCGATTCAAACTTCTGTCAAACTCTCTGGCCGAGTCTGCAGCCGAGTCACGTGGCGTGCAATCGCGAACCCTGCTCCCGCCCCCTGCGCTCCCCTTTTTCCACGCGTAGGGTGCCTTAAAGGGACCTGTGGAGCCTGCTAGCCGTCGGGCTGCCAGAAGGCTCCGGGTTTTTATTAGTAGCTTTCAGGGGGGGAACCCACTGAAACTGAAACAGCCACGCTGCTCCAACACCGGGGCCAAGGCCAAAAACCCACCGGGGATGCGTGGGCTCCTAGAGCAGCTTTCTCGGTTTTCCTGAGTTCTGTCGGAAGGTTTTCCTCCTTTCCCATACCGTAATAACTAGAGCGCACAAGATTTTCCTAAGGCATCCTCAATGTTCCTGTAACAGAGCTCTGTCAGCCAGAACAATGGAGAAAGCTAACTGGACTATAGACTTTCACTTCGCAGTAGACGTGGTTTTACTTTTTAACAACAAACGGCATTTAGATGTTAATGAGTTTCAAAGTTACCACGTTTTAAAACGTAAGAACTCGATCTCCTTTTAATAGCCGACAGTATTTAAATAAGAATGAAGTCTCTGCAGAACGGTGCGCGCAGAGATTGGGGACTGCGTTGAAAACTAAGGCAAAGTTGCATTTTGATTGACTTTGAATGGGCCTCGTTTTTGTAAAGCGTTCTGTGGGAGCCGAAAGTGAGCAGTTGTGACTATTACACATTAGGTTTACAAGGAGTGGAAATCTAAGCAGTAAAAGATGACAGGCGCTGTTTAACCAAAGACTCTGAGTGAATCTGTGGACGGAGCTAGGAGGGAACCAGCCTCTCTCTTAACGTTTATCCATCAAAGTCATTCTTTAATGATACGCCTCTACTCCCTACTTACAGCAATTCAGCATCTCAAAGCCAATGCTTTTTGATCAAACATTCTGTTGTTATTTATATAATTCAGCCATTGAATAAGTGCCTTCCCAATCCTAAGCATGAGTGGACCGGACAAGCAGCTAAGGCTGGGTTTGAAGGGAACTTCTGCATGGATTTACATGCAAACTTGGAATAAAGGAGTTGCTGAGTCCACAGATATACCCTTAATAAATCAGGAAGTGAAAGATGGTTCAGCAGTTAAAAGCATTGCTTTCCTAGAGACCAGGGTTTTGTTCCTGGAACTCACATGGAGACTTGAAACCATCTGCAATACCAGTTCTAGGCTATCCATTGCCCTAACTGGCCTCTGGGAACCAGGTATGCATATCAGTCATTCATACACACAAAGTAAGGATAAATGCATCCTTTTGAAAGTATTCTGCTGTCTCAGGTTCCTGTTCTACAGTCATTTCTGTTCCATGAAGCACCATGAAGACTGAGGTATAAATGTCCAAACCACACAGATACGAAATAAACATTATAATGCCCACTGGCCAACCTTGTTTGTAATTCTTTTTTTTTTTTTTTTTTTTCCGTAGGGTTTCTCTGTGTAGCTTTGAGCCTATCCTGGCACTCGCTCTGGAGACCAGGCTGGCCTCGAACTCACAGAGATCCACCTGCCTGGGATTAAAGGCATGCGCCACCAACGCCCGCCAGCCTTGTTTGACTCAAGTCCATTCCTGTGTTTATCATCACCCCACCGTTATACTATATCCAGGCACAGTACATAGACATCACATCATAATTTTTTCAAATTGTTTGAAATTTTATTAATACCATGGTTCTTTGACTTCCTTTTGTTTTGTGACAACCATCTCACCTGATATATGTAGCTTTAGTTTTTGTTTTTCATTTTAGCTATAGAGAATTCCACCCACATAGTGCTTAATACTTTCCTACTTTTTAAAATAATTTATTTTATTTTATGTGCATTGGTATGAGAATGTCAGATCCCCTTGTAACTGACAGTTGCAGACAGTTGTGAGCTTTCATGTGGGTGCTGGGAATTGAACCCAGGCCCTCTGGAAGAGCTGCCAGTGCTCTTAACCACTGAGCCATCTCTCCAGCCCCCATATTTTCCTACTTTCATATTCATGAGTTTATGGGTTATTTCCAAAAGTCCACTTTTCAAACACACTGCTATTATATACATACCTATTTTCTTGTATAGGTTTCTTACACAGCACTGAGTTTTCAATGTGTATGTGTGTGCTTGCATGTGTGAGCACACAAGTGTGTACTCATGTGTGCATGTGTGTGCATGTCTAAACACATACCTTGGTTGTAAAATATTTACAGCCTGACCCATTGTATAAACTGAGACTGGACTGACAAGACTGCTCAAGAGGGCAAAAGCTCTTTCCAGGCAAGCATGATGACCTAAGTTCAGTCCCTGAAACCCAGAGCCAAAGGAGAAAACAGACTTCCACAGCAGACCTACAGACCAGTAATAAATACAATTTTATTTCATTTTAACATTTTATTTTAGAGACAGGATTTCTCTGTATGACTGCCCTGGCTGTCCCGAAACTCATTTTATAGACCTGGCTGACCTTGAACTCATAGAGCTCTGCCTGTTTCTGCCTCATAAGTGCTAGGATTAAAAGCCCATCTTATAAATACAATTTTAAAAGTATAACAAAATATTTTGTAAAACTCATATTTTCTATACCATTTCATTAAGAAATTCTGGCTATCTAGTGGCAGATTCAGGTTTAATTGTACTGTTGTAAAGGTATTTTTAAAAGGTTTTTACATTCACTCATGTGTGGGTGTGTTTGTGCCATATCAAGTGTATGGCAGTCAGAGGACAACCTGCAGGGTGTTAGTTCTCTGCTTCTACTGTGTGGGTCCTAGGAGTAAAACTGGCTTATCATGCTCAGTGGCAAGTGCTTTACCTGCTAAACCATCTGTCCAGCCCACAAGATTCTATATAAAACTAACCAAGTCTTTGTTTAAGAAGCCTAGGCCTCGTTACCTTCAAGATAATGATTTATTGTTCTCTAATGGCTCATTCATAGTGGGTCTCTAGCAGTAGTTTGATAAACATTGCAATATACTTAAATCTCAATAAATAAGTTGTGAACATTTTCAACTTCAATCTTCAACAAATGTATACACCCATGAGCACCGCCATAATCATGGTATGTACCATTCATTTCAACGAGTTTGCAGTCCATCTCCAGTTCCTGATGCTGATTTCTGTCACCAAAAAATGAAATTGATGACTTTCTAACTCTTTCTGGGTGTTCAAGATGTTGAAGTGAGGACAGGGTAGGTCCTCTGGAGCAAAATTCCACACTTCCCTGGGTCTCTCTGCAGGACCAATAATACAGGAGTCACAAATGTGCCTATCGTTTCTGTGAAGAAAATCAAGG